GCTCTGTAGACCAAACTGGCCTGAAACTCAGAGACCCACCAGTCTTTGCTTCTTAAGACCCAGGGAATACTCCTTCCTTATAGAGCTCTATAAAGAACAATATATAGCTACGTGATTATCCCAAGGCTTTTCTGGTTTTACTCAACTACTTTTCATATTGTTTAACTTTTCCACCAAACTAATTTATGCCTCAGAAAACATTCCAATTTGTCTCTAATATTTCTAAAGTGAAACCTGGAACATACGCCAACTACTTGTAGACAATTTCCCAGAAGAGCACTAACATATGTTTAACATACCTCTCATCCATTATTCCATACTGTTCAAACTCTTCCCGAGTACCAAGTTGAACCTTGGCAATGGTTAGGAGCAAGAGGATGGGTAAAACTTGGGTATAACATGAAATAAGAGAATTGATATAATTCTGAGACTGGCTCTCTAGCTGAGAGTGAAGTTGCTGAAATAAGCCATGGCTATATCAAGGACACTGAAGGTTTCTAAACAGTCAAAGAGCAACATTTGACAGGAGGCAGTGGCAGCATCATGTACCTAATTAGGTTTTGGAATAGCATCTCAATCATCAGTTGCAGAACATGAGAATCAGGACTGAATCCCCAGCAAGAGAGTTTGCATAGTATAAGGCAAACAGAGGTAAAAAAGACTAGGGTGGAAAGGGACTACATTTTAAGAGTAAACTGAGGTAATAAGAATTAAAGAGGATTGGGGAGGTACTATGTCTGTTGTTTTCCTTTGTGTGCACATGTGTATATATTTGTATGAGGCAGCAGAGATCAATGTTGGGTGTCTTCCTCTATTTTTGTTCTCTTTGTTACTTTTGAAAACAAACCTCACTAAACCTGAAGTTTGTAATTTAGCTAAACTTGCTAACCAACCCTAAGGACTGAACTGTCTCCACTTCCTTCCCCCAAGCACTGGGGTTACAATGGCTCACCATGATGCCTGTTTTTTTTTTTTTTTTATGGGTTCTAGGAACTGAACTCAGGTCCTCGCATTTGCTCACTGAGCCATCCATCCATCTCCCCAGCTTTATATATACTTAACATGTATAAAATATATTTTTGGAAAACTGACCAAAGGTGATATGAATTGGCTGGAAATACATTATAAAAAGCATGATATGTGATTTCTCACGTGTATTTCTTTATAACATGGCTATAACAAATAACAAATATACTTCAGGCTTTAATTTTAAATAGTAGAATAGCTTTATAATAAATATTTGGAATCACTGAGTACAGTGGCACAGGCCTGTAATCCTAGCACTAAGGTAGGCAGAGGTGGGCAGATCTTTTTGAGTTCAAGGCCAGACTGGTCTACAAAGTGAGTCCAGGACAGCTAAAGCTACACAGAGAAACTCTGTCTTGAAAAACCAAAAACCAAAATAAAAAATAATAAAATAAAGATACTTGGAATCAAAACTTTGTAAGTGGCAAAACCTGGTAGCAAATGCCTTTAATTCCAGTACCCATGAAGCAGAAGCAGGTGGATTTCTGTGAGATTAATGCCAGCCTGGCCTATATATTGAGTTCCAGGCCAGCCAGGGTTACTCTGTCTCAACAATTTTTAAAATATAAACTTAGTATCATCAATTATGTCAGAATTTTCTAGGTGATGTACGTAGCATTTGCTGCAACTCCCTTTGCAGGTCCTTACCCAGCACCTTGCTCTTTTTCTTCTATTATCTAATTATCTGAAACTTTAGAGGAGTGGGCACCGCCCAATGAGGGTATGTGGCTGCTCTGGTCCTATGACTGAGATCCAGAGAACCAGGAGTGACATCATCTTTAACAATAAAATGCTCCTCTTGGTAAGCAAAAGGCCTATGTATGAAACTCAGACTTGAGGAGCTGCAGGCCAGTTCATCAGCTGTCCAGTTTACTCCAGCTTAATACAGCATCAGTTCGTGGCACTCCGAAAGGATCTTCTCTGAAGTCATTGTATGGTAAGGAATTTATCAATTGCCCTTTTAAATTCTGTGAGATTTAGATAATTGAGCAAGTTTTTAGCACATACTACTTTCTACCAATATTATGCCACTTTTTTTCATTGAAAATGTTAGCTAAATATAAAATATAACAATAAAATAAGTTTAAGGTAAGAAAGTCAGGAATCATTTTTATAATTAAAGTTTCTTGGGATATCTCATTTTTTAAAACCACCTGAAAGTACAGAAACCCGATGAACATTGGCATGATACACTTTAGTTACATCCTTATCAGAAATTTGGAATAAAACAGGCTGTCGGTGAGACAATAATTTTGATATAAAAAGTCAACAACAATTTATCACATGGAGTATTTGTAGGATATCCTTATCCTACAAATTTTAAATGTTATGGCTTTTAAAAAGCTTAGCCTGCATACAATGGCTGCAAAATTTTCCTTTCACTGAATATTCACTCCTCTTACATATAGAATAGTGTTTTCTAATCTTTAAAGTTATGTGTGCATTTTAAGGATGGCTTCAACTCTTCTCATGGCATTGCTAGGTAAGTCTATCTTCCTCAAAAGAACAAGGAAATAGAGCAGAGATGTCACTATGTCACCAGAACTGAACTAGGTTTAGACACCAATGCTCCTGTCTGCCAGCTACAGCATTTGTGACTGACACAGTGTAGAAGACTTTTCTTTATTTTTATTTTGTTTTTTTATTATTAGTTATATTTTATTAACTCTGTATCCCAGCTGTATCCCGCTCCTTCATTCCCTCTCAAACCCTCCCTCTCTCCCTCATCTGCTCCCTGCCCCTTTCCAAGTCCACTGATTGGGGAGGACCTCCTCCCCTTTCATCAGGTTTTATCATGTATCTTTAGGACTGGCTGCAAAGTCCTCCTCTGTGGCCTAGCAGGACTGCTCCTCCCTTGGGGGGTGGGGAGGTCAAAGAGCCTGCCATTGAGTTCCTGTCAGAAATAGTCCCTGTTCCCCTTCCCAACTGGTTACTGAGCTACCACGGGCTACATCCGAGCAGAGGTTCTAGGTTATATCCATACATGGTCCTTGGTGGAATGTCAGTCTCAGAAAAGACCCCTGTGCCCAGATATATTTGGTCCTTGTGGAGCTCCTATCCTTTCCACGTCATACTAACTCCCCCTTCTTTCATATGATTCCCTGCACTCTGCCAACTTTTCTTTGTTACTCCACTCATAGCTTCGCAGTGAGTGCACAATGAAGAGAAATGGTGCAAGCTGTAAGGTCTCTTATGCTACATTTAAGGATGTGGTTTCCTTTTAAAAAAGAAACATAATTCCTATTGTGTGTGTCTCTTAAAAAGTAGAATAGTGAGTATGTTTTTAAAGTGCTACTATAATAACGTCTGCAACCGTGGATCTGAAGATTAAGCCAAAATATGCACACTTACTTATGAGCAAGAACTAGAAGGTATACTAAACTATAACTGTTAAGTTGAAGCTATAAGATGTAGATACTCATTTTATTAAGGGTCAAAGCTCTAAGAACATATTATAAAAAACTAATTTGGAGCCAGGCATGGTAGCGCACACCTTTAATCCCAGCACCTGGGCAGCAGAGGCAGGTGGATCTCTGTGAGTTCGAGGCCAGCCTGGTCTACAGAGTGAGCTCCAGGGCAGCCAGAGCTGTTACACAGAGAAACCCTGTCTTGGAAACAAACAAACAAACAAACAACAAAAAGCCAACCAACCAACCAAAAAAAACTCAACGACGACAACAACAAAACTAATTTGATTTTTTTTCTTTGAGACAGAGTTTTTCTGTGTAGCCTTGCTGTCCTGGAACTAAGTCTGTATATCAGGCTGGCCTAGAATCACAGAGGCCTGTCTCTGCTTCCTGAGTGCTGGGACTAAAGTTGTGTACCACCATCATCCAGCTATAACGCATACTCTGTGTGTGTGTGTGTGTAATCACAGATTTGTGTGCTCATGTGACAGCCAGAGGTTAATGTTGTATATCTTTCTCTATCACTTTCTTTCTACTTAAAAAAAAAAAAACAAAACAAAACAAAAAAACTTTTAATGTTACAATTACAGGTGCACTGCAGCTGTGCCCGATATTTTTTAGGATCTGAATTCAGGTCCATGCTGGTACATCAAGCATTTACTAACTGAACCATCCTCCTAGCCACAGGACATATTTTTTTTTTCATTGTAAGAGGTGTTACATTATTAATACAGTAAACATAGCAGTATTAAGCCAGACATGGTGACACATGCCTGTAATTCTAGCACTCTGGCAGGCAGAGTCAGGTGGATCTCTGTGAGTTTGAGGCCAGCCTGGTCTCCAAAGTAAGTCCAAGACAGCCAAGGCTACACAGAGAAACCCTGTCTCAAAAAACAAAACAAAACAAAAAACATGGGAGAAAAAAAAGATAGCAATATTAAACCTTATAGTTAGACACAGTGGTGAATGCCAGAGACCAAGGCAGGAGGCTAGTTGGGCTACATAGCAAGATCTTATCACAAAAATAAATAGAAAAATCCTGCAAACTTGGTATTTATGGTTATTATGCTAGCATCTGAAAACAACCTTAGTCATAGAAACAGTGTTTGCTCACTCAATAGTGATTGTTTACCTAATTCGGGTTAGTAAATTTCAAACCTATTATAAACAAGTAGGTATAGCCAACATACATAAGGGAGGAAATCATCAAAACTGCTCTTCATTCAGTGTGTGTTTTAAACAATATATGCTAAAATTTGTACAAGAAACCTCTGAAAGCTACCTAAGAATGTCAGGCATCCAACTTCTCTAAGTTATGTGTACAAGCTATATTATATATATATATATATATATATATATATATATATATATATATATATGCATCTATTATATAAAGAGGCTGATTCCAAAGACTCAAGAAAAATAGCTCAATTAATTATTGCAATCTCAGCTAATGACTGCTTGCTTAGATGGTTATGAATAACAACTAATGGGAATGTACTTACATACTTTAGAACATTGGCAGTATTTTAAAATATCTCAACGTTGCTTCTCCTTTCAGTAAAGATGATGTCTACAAAAGCCATGGCTAAAGTAATGATCATCATGCTGGCAGTTTGTCTTCTAACCCAAACAGATGGGAAACCTGTTAAGTAAGTGCTGCAGCCCATTCTGCCCTGGGAGGTGTGGGCCTGAGCCTTTGCAGTAGGTTTTATGTTGGAAACATGGGGAACTAATGGAGTGGTCCTCTCTGCTCTTTCTAGGAAGAGAGCTGTCAGTGAAATACAGCTAATGCACAACCTGGGCAAACATCTGGCCTCCATGGAGAGGATGCAATGGCTGAGAAAGAAGCTGCAAGATGTACACAATTTTGTTAGTCTTGGAGTTCAAATGGCTGCCAGAGAAGGCAGTTACCAGAGGCCCACTAAGAAGGAGGAAAATGTCCCTGTTGATGGCAATCCAAAAAGTCTTGGTGAGGGAGACAAGGCTGATGTGGATGTGTTAGTTAAGGCTAAACCTCAGTAAATGCTGCTACCCTCCCTACAGTGCAGGCCCTCAACATTCTATGCTGCTGTCTTTTCAAGCTCTATGAAGATCACCAAGTGCTAATACTCCTACTTGTAACGAAAATTTGAAATTTTTTGATTCCACTTTTGCTCATTAAGTTCTCTTTCAATGATTCCATTTCAGTATGTTCTTTTTAAAGCATGTTATCACAGAACTTATAAAAGAATAAATGACACATTTCTACTTCTCTCCTTAAATACAAAATAAAACTTTAATGATCAAGAATCAAATAAGTAGTGTTACTTAACTTGTTAAAATTATGTGTCAGGGCTGGAGGGCTGGCTCAGAAGTTAAGAGCACACACTGCTCCTTCAAATGACTTGAGTTTGGTTCCCAAGACCTCATCAGATGGCTCACAACCACTTATAAGTCCAATTCCAGGAAGATCCAATGCCCTTGGCCCCTGCCAGTGCTTGCTCATGCACACATACCCACAGATAATCCCACATATTATAATTTAAAATAACAAAAATACCTAAAATAAAAACCATGTCTCTTGTCACAGTGTACCCAAATGGTTTTGTTGACATGAGTTTGTAAAGCACAAGAATAAAAGTCCTTAACTCATTTACCTCAGTTCGCTATTTTGAACACTGGTGTTTAATTCCAGACTACTAGTTTCCCAGATTCACATTAGCTTGGTATTGCTTTCCTCACCTGCTCTTCAGAAAGCCCAATGAAATTATTATTTATGTGCCTTTCCATTTTCTGACGTATAAAAATATAAAAAATTTACTAATTGCTACTGTAATACCTGCTAAAAATAAATATATAAAACAACAAAAAAGATTTATGTATGTATACAGTGTTCTGCCTGCACATACACCTGAATGCCAGAAGAGGGCACAAGATCTCATTTTATAGATGGCTGTTAGGCACCTTGTGGTTGCTGGGAATTGAACTCAGGACCTCTAGAAGGGAAGCCAGTGCTCTTAACCTCTGAGCCATCTCTCCAACCCCCAATGAAATTCTTAGAAAATGGGGCAGAAAGTGGTTTGAGACTTGACTGCAAAGCATTTGCCTTTACATAAACTCACAGAGTATATTTATACTCTGAACCCTAAACTGCAGGGAACAGAAATATAGTTTTTATCAATTATTCACAAATCTTTATTTAGTATTCATTATGGAAAATGTATTTATCTATCTTATATCCCACAGACATGGTTCTTGTCATCATTGGAGCCTCCAAATGTTGGCATTAATTAGTACTAACTTTGAGAAGTTCTAAGTATGAGAAACACAATATAGCCAGGTGGTAGTGGCCCATGCCTGCAGCTGGGAAGCAGAGGCAGGCAGATCTCTAGAAATCTGAGGTCAGCCTGTTCCACAGAGTGGGTTCCAGGACAGCCAAGGCTCTACAGAGAAACCCTGTCTCAAAAAAACAACAATCACCATATACTACAGGGGTGCAAAATAAGGATCCTATGGTATTTACATCAGTGAGACACAGCAAAATATTATGCAGTAATGGAAATATCCCATAGTTTGTGCTGTCTGTAGTGACAGTCACATTCATGTTCATCCAAAACATGGCTAGTATGGCTGTGAAAACTGATTTAAAATTGGTCATTAATTTTGTGGTGGGTATTGGACCTCCAAGCTGTAGGCCCTCTAAACACCTACAGGTTTTCACTTCCAACCTCTTAGTGGCATAAATTAAATATTATAAATGCTTGTGATAAAAGCTAACTGATTTGCTGCTTTTTCCTTTCAAAATAGTAAAACTTACTATTTAAAAGTTTGTATTAAAACATATGCATGTTTTCTTTAAAAAAAAAAAAAAAAAAAAAAGGGCTGGGTGTAGTGGCATGCTTTTGATCCCAGCACTCAGGAGACAGAGGTAGGTTAATCTCTGCAAGCCAGAGGCCGGCCTAGCCTATACATCAAGTTCCAGACCAATCAGGGCTACATGATGAGAGTGTCTCTTAAAAGTAAAATGGACAGATACTACTTACTGTTCAGGTTACACAGTAGAACTTTCTTGTCAGTCCCTCTTTGATCACATAACCCACACTCTTTTTTCTCTCATATCTAAATATTTTCAGATTGGCTAGACTAATGTTATATTTTCAAATAGTTTCTTTTGCAAGACATGGAATCAGTCTTTTCAGCCTAAGCCCAGTCTTCTCACTTTAATTTTTCTACTGTCAGCATCTAAATTAGTTTGGATAATGAAACTGATATTAAAATGATTCAAAGTATTTTTACCCTAAATTAACTAAATCTGTTAATTGGTTTTTTGAGACTGGGCAGCTCTATGTAGCTCTGGCTGTCCTGGAACTATGTAGCCCAGGTTGTTCTCAAACTCAAGCCGGTCAACTAGACATTTACTTGTGTAATATCACCTGAATATGACTAGTGGGTACTCATAGCGTGGTCCTTCCACACCATCCTAGGTTTGTCTCCATTCCAGGTAGCCAGCAGTATGAAATTATTGTGGATGTGCCAGACCTGGAAAAGCTGATATTCTAATTTTGAAATACAACTGTAATATTTTGAGGGAGTATATTAAAATTATATATTAGTTTTAGGACAAATTATTATCTTTATTATCTCATCTAGTCCCTCAGCACTGTAAGGTTCCTAATTGACTCTCATCTCTTTTTATGCTTTTTAAATAGGCTACATTTTTCCTCTGGATTTTATGCAGCTCATGTTAATTACTAAATACTAGACAGATCTGTGTCTATCCTGAAGGGAACCTAAGGTTTTATTTTTCTAGTTGATTTTTTGTGAAGACTATTGTTCTTTCCTACACCAATAATCTTGTTGAACTCCTTTATTAATTAAAATTGTTTATCTTTTGATAAAGTTTTTTTCTATACTTGTTCATGCAAAATAATGGTACATTTATGTACATTTATCTCTTTTTCTCTCTCTTATTACACATCTTTGTTTCTTATAATTTTATCCAGGACCTATGATTTTTAAATTTTAATTTATGATGGATGCTACTGTTTTTAATCTATTCTTGACCTTAAAAGTGGTGTGTCAATAATTTCTTCAGAAAAAAAAAAGGCTCTAAACATACTATTTATTCTCTTTCATAACTGGTCTGCAAAGGGCTCTTTGGAACTATAAAAAAGCAATGGACTTTTAAAAATGCTTTCATGTAAAATGAAAAACATGTAATTTTCACTTCCAGGATGTTAATTTCATAAGTTAAATATTTTATGTGCCTGTAATTGTCTATAACACAAATTAGTTTTTTAGCTTTATTATCACTTTATAAGCACCCCTTCTCACTCTTAATTTTTATAATAGCATGATGCCAGTATCAGAATTTCCAGGTAGGTTCTTCTTTGGTCACATGCCATCTTTTTTTTTTTTTTTTCTTTTTTTGTAAGCAGTTTTTTTTAATTTTCAAATTTTTATTTATTTTGTTTTTTGAGGCAGGGCTTCTCTGTGTGTACTTAGAACTCACTCTGTGGACTAGGCTAGCCTTGAACTCACAGAGATCCGCCTCCCTCTGCCTGTCTTCCCAGTGTACCACCGCTCAGCTTCTTTTTGTTTTTTAAACATATTCGTACTTTAATGTTTATTATTATTCTCTTGGTTTTTATTCTAGTTATGCCGGAGCTGGCAGAGTCAAACAGTACCTGAGTGGGGAGTGAGGACAAACCACACTACATATGGGATCAGCTTGAGAGGGCTGTCAGTAATGACTGAAGCAGCGTGGGTTTATTCCAGGGTTTTTATAGGCAAAGCAAAAACAAGTCACATCAATACAAAAAGAAAAGGCATGGAAACGCCTGTTTTTTCAAAAGCTACTTCCCTATAGCAGATAAGGTCCAGCCATACAGATAAGGTCATACAGATAAGCTTTAAGAAATCTCAATGAACCTAAGATCACACAGATAAGCTTTAAGGAATCTCAATGGCCCAAGGTCACACAGATAAGCTTTTAAGGAATTTGGTGAAAAGTCCTCTTTTCTCTGTCAAGGTGAAAACGTAACAAAGCAGCTTAACAAGCAGCTCTCCACTTAGTTAACTACATATATATGCATTTAAAAAACTGGAACATCTAATTCTATTTTTTTTCAAATACCTGTTTTGCAAATCATGAGTTTGTCTTTCCTATATTCCCTTTCTCACCATCCACCGTGGCTAAGGCCTCCACATCCTATTTTAAAGTTTTTTGCTCTTCTGCTTTCTGCTAGTTAGTATCCAATATAACATAGTCATATATGTAATTTTAGGTAAGTTGCTATAAGAATAAATTGCAGGTTGGGATGGGGCCCGAAATCTGGTAGATGTTCTTCACCAGCTCATTTACCCTGCCTTTTTGTCCCCTACCCTTTCTTCCCAGAAGGCAACTTTGTACTATGAAAACTCAATTCCACCATTCCTTCTTTGGAGATGGCTGGACTCTTTATACCAGAGGTTGCTTGGATGCACCCTTGAAGGACAAATTGTGCTCTACACTTGGATGCCACCTTTTTCACTTGTGGGGTCCTTTCGTTTATTGACCCCTATGTCTCGGAGCCACAAACATGCTAAGCATATTCTGTAAACAGTGAGCTATACCCATCATGATCTATTATCTTGATCTCAGGGTGTTTATAAAGCAAGACTTTTGGCTTTTCCAGGCTAAGTGGGTAGATTAGAAGCTTCCTCTGTGTGAATCTGTGACTGAGAAACTGTAATGCCAGGTTCACGGGGACCTTCAGAGACCACCAGGAGACGACTCTATGCAATAGCAAGAGAGCTTTATTACGAGAGTGATCAAACTTGGGACCTAAGTCTCACCAATGCAGCAGTAGAGAAGTAGGACTCCGAGCCCTGAGTGAGCAGGGTCTTTAAAGAGAAAGTCTGATCAGGGGGTTTCCATGACAGCAAGCAGGGGGCACATGTTTCTATGACAGCATATGCCTTGACGTTACAGGATTAGGTAAAAGTTAGAGGGGTGAGGTGACCCTCTCTGAATCACAATTCCCTAAGGCATACAATCACAA